CACACACACACATACACACACACCACACATACACTTACACATACACCATACACACATACACACACCATACACACATACACACACACACCATACACACATACACACACACCATACACACATACACACACACACCATACACATATACACACACACCACACACACACTTACACACACACACATACCACACACACCACACATACATACACACACCACACACACACTTACACACACACACCACACATACATACACACACCACACACACACTTACACACACACACCACACATACACACACCACACACACATACACACACACCATACACACATACACACACCACACACACACTTACACACACACCATACACACACACCATACACACATACACACACACCACACACACATACCACACACACATACACACACCACACACACATACACACACCACACACACACTTACACACACACACCACACATACACACACCACACACACACATACCACACACACCACACACATACCACACACATACACACACACACCACACATACACACACCACACACACATACACACACACCATACACACATACACACACCACACACACACTTACACACACACCATACACACACACCATACACACATACACACACACCACACACACACAAATACACACACATACCATACACACACCACACACACATACACACACCACACACACATACACACACACCACACACACAAATACACACACATACCACACACACACCACACACACATACACACACCACACACCCACCACACACACACTTACACACACATATACACACACATATACACACACATACACACACACATATATATATACACACACACACACACACACACAGCAACCGGCTGAGATTTGACCTTCACAATCATTTAAGTGCACAGCTCATGGCAGCAGGGGCCCATGTATAGCTTGTCTTTGAGAGGCACTGCCCTGGCCAGCTGAGATTCCAAGAAGTGATTAACTCACAGGTGAGACAGACTGGCAGCAAAGCTTGGCGACGATGGTGACAGTGCCTCTGGCTTCCACCTGCTCTCCAGCAGACCTTCGTGCCAGTCAAGCTTGTCACTGGATAGGTTTCGCCTTTGAGAAGGCTGGGGAAGGTGATTTGCTGGGGGAAGAGGTCCCTGAATGTGGTGGGATTCTGACAGGGGTGCCCCAAAAGGACCTGACCCTGGATATATCAACTAAAGGTGTCTCAGAGGGGTCCCTTGCCCAGCGATGGAGCACATCTTACAAGTGAGGGAGATGAAGCATAAAGAGAAGAGCAGCCCTCCTGGGCATGGGGGTGCGCATCTATTATGGAAGCACTTCGGGGGGTGTAGGGGAGTGAGGGTGGAGTTGGGGTGCGGAGGTAGGGGAGTCAGGAGTTCAGTGTTATACTGGGTTACATAGTGAGTGTGAGGCCAACCTGGGCTACATGAGACCCTATCTCAAAAATCAATGCCCCCCCCAAACTAAATGAATTAATTAAAGGTAAAATTTTTAAATGCAGTCGAGAGATGAATGGGGAAGCCCAGAGAACACTGGACGCTTTGTCACACTGCTAGCGTCTCCGTGTTCCATCCTAGTCCTCTTGGGTTTTGTCTAAGTTTCAGTCCCTGCAGAAACTGACACACGGAGGGCATTGGGGCCACACCAAACTCACTGTGCCCAGTAACAGAGCCCTGCTTCTCCCCCACGGAGTCCTCGGAGGGCATTGGGGCCACCAAACTCACTGTGCCCAGTAACTGAGCCCTGCTTCTCCCCCGCTGGGTCCTCTGAAGGCGACGGATGGACTTGTGACAGATCAGGGTGCAGCAGGGGGGAGTGGGCCAGAGACAGATGGGGTGCAGGGGGAGTGGACTAGAGACTGATGGGGTGCAGGGGAGTGGACTAGAGACATGGGGTGCAGGGGAGTGGACTAGAGACTGATGGGGTGCAGGGGGAGTGGACTAGAGAGATGGGGTGCAGGGGGAGTGGACTAGAGAGATGGGGTGCAGGGGGAGTGGACTAGAGACATGGGGTGCAGGGGGAGTGGACTAGAGACTGATGGGGTGCAGGGGAGTGGACTAGAGACATGGGGTGCAGGGGAGTGGACTAGAGACTGATGGGGTGCAGGGGGAGTGGACTAGAGACAGATGGGGTGCAGGGGGAGTGGACTAGAGACAGATAGGGTGCAGGGGGAGTGGATTAGAGACATGGGGTGCAGGGGAGTGGGCCGGAGACAGATGGGGTGCAGGGGAGTGGACTAGAGACATGGGGTGCAGGGAAGTGGATGAGAGACTGACGGGGTGCAGGGGAGTGGACTAGAGAGATGGGGTGCAGGGGAGTGGATGAGAGACTGACGGGGTGCAGGGGAGTGGACTAGAGAGATGGGGTGCAGGGGAGTGGATGAGAGACTGACGGGGTGCAGGGGAGTGGACTAGAGAGATGGGGTGCAGGGGAGTGGACGAGAGACTGATGAGGTGCACTCGGGGTGGGCAGACAGCAGATGTATGGGAGAAGCTTCCCAGGGTACAGAGGAGCACAGGATGATCCCAGAGACACTACAGTCAAACATCTGGGCTTGGAAGGGCATTCCACTTCCTCTGCCCAAAACTCAGGGGGAACAGCACCATTCAGGGGCCCCAGGAATTCACAGGGAACTAGTGAGAAGGCCCCAGCAATCACTCAAGCCCCTGGAGAATTTCCCCGTGACCACCTTAGCTGTGGGGTAGCAGTGGGCTGGCAGTACCCAATCCCCAGAGACACGGAGGGTGCACACACAGTCTCCAAAGAAGGCGAGGTGAAGGCAAGCAGGGCAGAGGCAAAATTCCCTCCCCACCTTGGGGCTCTCTCCAGTTCCCCCAGGCACTGTCTGGATACCTCCAACTCTCTCTCTGTCTCTCCCCTCTTTCTCCTCTCTGTATCTCTCTGCTCTCTCTCTCTTTCTCTCTCTTTTCTCTTTGTCTCTGTCTCTTCTCTCTGTCTCTCTTCTCTCTCTGTCTCTGTCTGTCTCTTCTCTCTCTGTCTCTCTCTTCTCTCTGTCTCTGTCTGTCTCCTCTCCCTCTCTCTCTCTCTCTCTCTCTCTCTCTCTCTCTCTCTCTCTCTCTCTCTCTCTCTTTCTCTCCCCTCTTGTTTGGGGCAGAGAGAATGACAAGTTTGAACTTGTCCTCCAGCTTACACATAATTGGTGGCAGCAGGCAAGGCTGCTGCAGAGGGGGGTTAACCAGAGGAGTGAAGGAGGGTGGAGACCAAGAGTGGCGTTGGGGACCCTGTGGGGGTCATCTGACCAACCTTTCTGTGGCCTCCACACCATTCCCATGACCCGTGTGTTCACCTCCCCCGCCCCTCACCTCCTCCTCTCAGGTTCCCACGGGCGATGTCCTCAGAGCATCACTCTGCCAAGGAAACCACCTTCGTTTTCTAACAGCGGAAACTGAGGCAATTGGGATGGGACTGGAAGCCAAGAGGAGTCTGTCTCAGGACAGCAAATTCATAGTCTCTGTCTGTGTTCATTCTTTTGCTTTTCCATTTAATCCTGCTAAAGAAGGACTGTCTCTTCCCCAGGGTAGGAAGGCGTTTGCTGACAGAGCCCACCCCCACCCCAGCTGACGCCCTCCCGCTGCCAATGTCAAGGGTTTGAGAACTGAGTCATATTTAGGGAGAACTTGGTTATTGCCCAGCTCTCCTGGGTACCCTGGGATGTTAGTTTCTGTCCTGCATAAAACTGGCCCTGGAGCAGGACTCTGAGGCCTGGTACAATTGGCTCCGAGCAATTGAAGGGGGTAGGGGGACAGTGTCCAGGCCCGGGGGACTTGCTCCTTCAGCCGTGTGTCTCTCTGCTGCCTGTGAGGTTAGCCGTGGAAGCCGGCCTGGAGATAGTGTGCGGGGCCGTCTGTGGTGTGCCTAAGATGATCGTGGGTTAGCCTCTGCCAGTGTGCTGAACACTAGACAGCCCGTATAGGAGCCGAGTCAGCGGGTTACCTCTAACGCCCACAGAGCGGGGGCAGTTTTAGCCGAGGGACTCAGATCTGAGAATGAGGATTGTGTCCAGAGAGGGTGGGAGTGACTTAGGGGTAAAAGTTGGGGGGATGTTACTTGGCACGGAGTGTGAGCCCATCCCTGTGTTCCAAGACGCAGCCCTTCCAGCCTCCCCTACACCTCGCGCCCTCTTTGTCTCCCCGCCGAGGTGCGCATGCAGACCTGCTTCGCTCAGCCCTCCTGGCGTGCGAGCCCGGGGCGCGCGAGGGGGGGCGCACCCTCGACTCCCCCGCTAACTCCCCACGGGGAGAGCGGACCAGCCGGAGACCCGGTGCTGTTTGGTCTGGAGCGGAGCGGGGGCTTGCATTGATCCATTGATTGTGCGCGGTCTGCGCCTGACCTCCCTGCTCCCGGGGAAGCCGTCTCCATGGAGACCGGGCCCGCTCCCCCAGCGCCGGATTGTAAATTCCTGCAGGCAGCGGCCCGGCAGCCTGGGGAGGGGGCCGCGCGCCCGGGCGCGCAGGGGGAGCGGCCGCCACGCCGAGGCCCCCTTTGAAAGAAAAAAAAAAAGGACACGAAAAAGGAGGTGGTGGAGGAGGAGGACGGAGAAGAGAAGCAGGAGGGGCAGTGGGAAGGGGAGGAGGAAGAAAACGAAAAGGAGCAAGGAGAGGAGGAGAAAGAGGAGGAGGAGGAGAAAAGCGAAGAAAAACAGACGGAGCCCGGGAGACGAGAAAGCAAGGGAGGAAGAAAGAGGCAGAAAGGGCGTGTTTAGGCTCTACGTCTCCCCTCCCCTTTCTCAGGTCCCAGCTCCGGCTCTGCGCGCTCGCTCTCCGGCTACAGCTCCCCGCGGGCGAAGCTGGGCGTCGGGTGCGATAGCCCGGGCCGCCCCTCGGGCCGCCGCCCCGCGCCTGGCCGCGCTCCCCACCGCGCGCTCCCCACGCCCAGCCCGGAGCCCCCGCGGGGCGCCCTCCAGTCCCCTCCCCCTCCGCCTCGCGCCCTCCCCGGGGCTGCGACACCCCCGCGGCCCCGCCGCGCGGAGCTCCAGGCCATGGGCTCGGGGCGCGTCCCCGGGTTCTGCCTGCTCGTCCTGCTGGTCCACGCGCGTGCCGCCCAGCATGGCAAAGCTGCGCAAGGTAAGGGAGGCGCGGCGCGGGGCTGCGGGGCTGCGGGACGGCGGGGCCCGAGCCAGGGCAGGTGCCTGGAAGTGCGTGGCTGTCGGGACCCCGGTCCTGTGCCCCGGACTCCCGGGCCAGGGCCAGACCTCTGGGCGCTGCGCGCCTGGCGAAGCGCTTGGAGGAGCCTGGGGGCGGCCGGCAGAAGGGAGCCTGCACTTCTGCTGGCTTCCCTGCTCCCTCTAGCATCTTCCGCCGCCGAGGTCAGAGAATCTTCTCCCAAACACTGCCGGCGACTTCACTTGGGAGCTTGAGCCCGAGGGAACGAAGTTTTCAGCCACGCCGCCGCACACTTCATCCCCTCATCCCCTCCCCGCACGCAGTCAGGCCGAAATTTCAAAGTTGCTGTCTTATCAAGTCTGAAGATGTTAAAGAAAAACAGACTCTTTCGCGGTGAAACTGACTGCCTGTCACGGGATGGTAGGGGGGCAGAAGGAGAAAATGTCTGTGACTGGTTTCTGGCACGCACGTTGCGTTTCTGCCTTGGGGGGGGACCTCTTTCGTCTCGCATGGCTTTCATTTCTTATCATAATATTTATTTATTAAGGCCTGGGGTTTCCAATTCCATTTAAATCCAGGTCAGAATTGCATTAAAATAACAAAGTAAAATTCCAGGCTGGGAGCTCTGACAGATCCCTCTAGGAATTAGAGAGAGACTGGGAGGCCCTCCTGCCCCGGTCCCTGACCCCGAGCTCACTGCCCAGCCAGTCTCACGGCTGCGCTGGCAGAAACCAGGCTGGTGTCCCACAGTTCTCTGGGGACAGCCTCCCCTCCCCCATTGACCTGCTGCACCCCTCCCCCCACGTTGTCCTCACCCAAAAGAGATTTATATGGACAAAAAGAAAATTCCTCTTAGCAAGATTTTGCCCGGGAGGTAGATTCTGCCTATTGTCCCAGGGGCTCCTGAAGCCAGCCAGGGATGAGGAGGTGTCTGAGCCAGAAAGAAAGTTGAACTTGGGAGTTGGGGAAGTCTGAGTGTCTGGCAGTCATGTCACCGTGTGCAGGGGCCTGAGCCCTGGTGTCCTAAGCTGTTGTGTGCCACCGGCTTTCACTAGGTTCTTAGAAGGTGCTAAAGGAACACCACCCGCCTCCCCCAAAACACTGTCTCTTCCCTTGCCCCCTCCAACCTATCAATCAATATAACTAAACACTGGAGACCCTCAGCTGTCAAGACCCCACGGCAGCCTCCTTCCAGCCCCAAACTTCTTCTCCTGCAGCCTTGGTTCCAGACAGTCCGCTGCCTGGAACAGCCTCTCTCCACACTGTGGATTTGCTTGTGTGTTTTCGTAAACAAAGCTGGCTTTTGTAGTGCACGCTGACTTACTCATAACATGGAATTAGCTAGGGAGTTTAGTCTGAGGAAGGAACAGATTTCGTGCAGTAATCTAGAGACAAGATAAGGGCCTCTTTCAAGTTGGAGCCAGTGTCTGCAGGGGTGGGGGTGGGGGCAAGAGGGGAAGCCGTCTATTAAAGGGCTCCAGGTGCAGCTGGAGACCCCCCTAAACGGGACAGGTGGGGGGGGAAACCAAGGCTCGAGGGATAGAAGGAGTCAGGATACCTCCAGGGTGTGCCAGTTACCTTCTTTTATTGGACACCCCGCTGGGTGCTGGGGGACGCCCAAGGTGTCTGCCTACCTCAGTTCTGGGCTCCACCTGCCCTGACGAGGCTGAGGTAACTTGGTATCGGCACCCTCCCCCTCAGAACTTCTGAGTCTGGCTGGGATTAGAATGGAACCTCTCATTAACCCTACCATTCAGGAAATCTGTGAAACCCTGTCCATCAGAGGTTGCCTAACAACAGGTTTGCCGGAACACAGAGCTGTGCTTGGACTCAGAGTTGCAGGTAGATGCTGCAGGAAGGGTCTGAGCCTCGCAGGCTTACCCCACAGTGCTGCGAGCTTTCGGGAGGCCTCCCTTGCCCCCTCGACATATCTCCCATCTATCATCAGGGCCAGGGAGCTCGCCTTTGATGCCACGTGCTTCTCGGTGGAACTCTGGAGGGTCTGCGAATTGCAGACACCCTCAGTGAGTGTCTTGAAAGGACTTCTGGGGACATCTGTGTCTCTGGGAAGCCTCAAAGCCACGTGATGGGGTTAGAGGGTGGGACAAGGACCTGAGCTTAAGAATAAGGGGGGGGCAGAACACTAACACCATGGGACATCCCTGGCCCACTGTGTCTACTGGGACCTAGTTCTTCAATCAGGAATGCTGAACGTTTTGTCCCTGTGGATGAGTGGGCGGGTCAGCTAGTGGACTGGGAATGAGTGAGCTTGCTGTGTACATGGTTTTGAGTGGTTTTCAAGAGCCTGTCTGTGTGTCTAAAGTAGACAGACTGGATAACCAAGATAATTGTAAACTTAAAGGCATTAATTTGCTTTGCTTTTTGAGGGTGGGGGCGGGGTGGGAGGATGGCTAGGGTTAAAGGGACCTAATCCTCACTGAGGGCTCAGGTTGCAGCTGAATGGAGAGCTCCCAGGGCCTCCAGAGGAGCTGCTCCTGTCCCCAGGCCGGCTCTGTCAGGGGCGGCCAGCCTGGCCACTTAGTTTACCTGGTAGTTTTCTTCCCTTGCCGGGGACAGAGTCTCGAGAAAGTCACCCATTTAGAAGTCACAACGCCCCCCGAGGCCGAGAGTGTTCATCTGGCGGGGAACAGTGTCTCTCTGTCTCTGGGTCTCTGTCTGGGTGTGTGTCTCCCTTTCCCCTCTCTTCCTCTTTAATGTGGCTGTTTCCTCTCCTCCCTGCTTCCCTCTGCTCCTGTGGCCAGCTCCTACAGTGAGGGGACTGTTCCTCCTAGCCCCTCCCTCCGAAATGTGAAATGAAAACCACAACCGTGTCAGCGGGTGAGGGTGGCTCCTTGGACAACCGCTACTGCCTGTGCCCCACCGAGGCCCTACTGGAGCGAGCAGACAGACAGGCAGACCCCACGCTTAGATCCTGTTGTTTAATCAGGGTCCCTACGCTCGTCTCCATTTTTAGGAAGTCCTGAGGAATCCCTTTGACCCCTTTCTGTCTGTGGCTTGCTGGTGGCATGTCATAGGTGTGGGGAAAGCTGGAGCCAGGCGGATATAATAAACTCTGCTGCCCACCCACCGCCCCCAGGCTTTGTAGGGTAGAATGGGAGACGGGAACTGTGGAGACCAGGGAATCGACAGCTGTGGGTAGAGGGCAAGAGGACAGTGCTCAGGAGCCCTCGGAGGAGACTGCTTTCTGGAACATTCTGGAACTGAGAACATGGGAACCGGTTTGAGGTGTGAGCAGCTAGGACCTGTTGTAAATGGAGGCAGGAGTGTGTGAGTTTGGGAATGTGAGGTGTGCCTTCACTGGGGCGTGTGAGCATGCATGTGCGTGATTTTGTGTGTGTGTGTGTGTGTGTGTGTGTGTGAGAGAGAGAGAGAGAGAGAGAGAGAGAGAGAGAGAGAGAGAGAGAGAGAGAGAGAGAGAGAGAGAGAGAGCGCATGTGTTGTGTGGCACTCTGGGAGGGGAAGAAGTGGGCAGTGTGTGCTTTGTTTCAGTTGGAGAAGGAGAGTAGAATGGTTTGGTCCAGCGCCTTGAACTGGGCGGGGGGGGTGCATGGCTTCAGATCCTCTCGAGAGGATGGAGGTGGAGGGACTTGCTGCCAGAACCCACCCTGGTCTCCACCGCCTGCTTCGGTGTGCGCGGGTGTGGACCTCCATACCCCTAACACATGACCACTCAGTAAGAAAAGAGTTCCTGTCAGGCAGGGCCAGAGGCTGTGGAGCCGGAGCCGCCGCCGTTCTGAGGCTGGCGGTACTTACTACTTACAGGAGGCCCAGACCTGGGGAGGCAGGAGTCTGGGAAGGAGTGGGCTGCTGGAGCCCAGGGGAGAGGTGAAAACAGTCAGCTCAGGGATGTTTGGAGGGGATGAATGGGTTACTCACCTGGGCAAAGAAGGGACACTGACTCTGTCTGTAGGCTGGCCACTCTCCCCGCTAGCCTGCCCTCTGCCCGACTCAGGTGGCCTTGGGTGGATGGAGGATAAGGCGCTGCTGAGCTTTGACAGATGCAGAGCCTGGTGACTGGGAACTCGGGGGTCCTACCCGTTTTACTGAACTCACTCCTATGGGTAAGCCCCAGACGTGCGGCCTCAGCTGCCCCGGCCTTTTCACCCCAGAGCCAGGCCCTCTCTGCCCAGACCCTGTTCACCCAGCCTGCTGGAACCCTGGTCGCTAGGTACACTTCCTTTCTTCCCCCACCTCCGTCTCCCAAGCGTGACAGTCTTGTGTCAAGTGAGCGGCTAGCCTGGAAACCAGCCCTGGAAGCACGAGCTCATGTTTCTGTGGATGTGTACACTGTGTGGTGCCCAAGACTGACCCCTCTATGTCCCCAGCCCGTCCCTCTCCAGACCCAAGGGCTTCCTCTGGAGTTGGAGCTGGCTGCTGCTGTTGGCTTTCAGAAGTGGGACAGCCCCCCTGAGTACGGCGCTGGGGGCCTTGGTTTGCCAATGTTTTCCCCCCTTTGACAAACCAGAGCCCCAGAGAGCTGTGGGCTTTGAACCTCAGAGCGTTGTGCCCAGGACGGTCTGGTTGTGGTTACTGACAGTGGCAGACTGAGGCCTTGGTTGCTGGCCCATAGAAGACGCAGGATAAGGAAACAGGCCTACGGAGTCCCTGGGTGAGGTGCAGCATCAGGCTGTGTGGGTGTGTCTGGGGGGTTAGGGTAGCGTGGGATATTAAAGGGTAGACCCTGGGGGGCAGGTTTAGAGAGAGGACGTTTTTTACAAGTTTCTAATTATATTTATTTGGAGTTTTCCTCTGGCGGTTTGAAGCTGTTAACGGCAGGGACCTGGATCCCTGGTGTTTGTTTTTGTTTCTAACCAGCTGCTTGGCCCCAGAATAGTGAATCCCAAGGCTGGCGACACCTGCCCACCCTCTCCTTGCCTGTGTGTCTGCCCTGGTCTCCTCTTCTGCCTCAGAGCATCCGGGTGCTGGCTTTTGACCACCAGCCAAATTCAGTTCCGTTCCGTCTCATGCTGTGTTGCTTGCTCCAGCCGGAGCTAAGTGCTTGAGTTGGGAGCAGGGGAGGCAGAGACCCATCTCTCAGGTTCCTTTAGAAGGCTTTCCGGGGTGGGCCTGGGTTCTGTCTTTACACTGGCATTGGTCCTTTCCCAGGGTAAGTCTCCCCGTCACTTACTAAGCCTTGCCTGCGGCTGCCCGAGAGGAAGCAGAGGCCCGAGACCCCGCTGTCCCCTGTGCCCAGTCTCCTCTGGCCCCGTGTTCACCGTCTTTGTGGACTCTAAGATCTTATGCGTGTAGGTGCCGGCACACTGCCACAGCACACACGTGGAGGTCAGAGGTCAACCTGGGGCGTAGCTCTCACATCCACCTTGCTTGACGCAGTATTGTTCAGCTCTGCACAAGCTCGGCAGGCTGGCTTGCCGTCTGGGGGTTCTCCTGCCTCTGCCTCCTGTTGTGCTGCAGCCGGGACAGGATTAGAGATGGGGCTCCCGGCTCAGGGTCTTTACACACCAGGCGACACCCCCCTCCTCCTCAGAATAAACTCTCTAGGACACCCCTCTTCCCAGAGTGCCGAATGGCCACAGGAGGCAGGCTTCCCTCTGGGGTATGCCGCAGGTAAAGGTCTCACCCACCTCTCTGTCCAACAGACACCTACAGAGTCCCCCCACTGTGCTGTTTACTCTGTCTCCTCCACTGCTGAACCCTCGGCACCTGGCACAGGGCCTGCCCTCATACAGGTACCTAGTAGCCATTTGCCGAGTGGTCAGGTATGCTCTGCCAGCAGTGTCCTGGGGTCAGAGATTCAGAAGTCATGCTCTCGAGGCACTCACAGCACCGAGTTAGCAAGACGAAGTATCCTAGGGAATACTGGAGGGGATGAACAGTGACCAAATGCTTTTATCGAGCATTTGCTGTTATGTCCACGCTGTGGCACCTGGTGCTTGGTGGGTACTAACTCATTTGAAGCTGGTAGCGGCCCCCTAGATGGTGCTGTGACTAATTTACAGGGGAAGGAGTAGGTGTGTTCAGGGGTTGGTTCAAGGCCACACAAGCCCCTGGAGAAGCCTGCACTGGGACTGGTCCAGCATCGGTCAGCCATGTTGTTCCCAGCTCCGTCAAATGACTTACTTACTTGGGAAAGATATCCCCAGGCTTGCCCAGGAGGTTCTGATTTGGTGGTTCTAGACACCCTGGGTCTTTAAAGGTCCCCAGATTCCGGTGTGCCACTTGAGCCAAGAACCAACCCATGCCAAGAGCATCACTTGGCCTGCAGCTGGGAGGCAGTCTTGCCCTCAGAGAATAGACTAAAGCTGGGGCTGAGGAGGGGCCGGCAGAGGAGGAGGAGGAGCAGGGTACGATTTGGGGCCCTGTTTACTGCCCTGTGCCTCAGGCCAGCTTGCTTCAGATTCCAGTCAGAGTGGGGAGGTCTCTTCTTCAGCAAGCGCCCGGCCCGGGTGAGAAGTGGGACTTGCTATGCGACACTGCTTCAGAGTGAGGGCTGAGCAGATCAGTGTGACAGAAAGGGTGGCAGGCTGAGCCCCCCTGGGTGCAGGGCTCCCCGGGAGCAGGCAGACAGACCTGAACCTGGTTTGGGAAGGAGGGAAGGGTGGGCCGGCAGCATGAATGGTAAGAGGGAGCTCGGGAGGGTGTAGCGGACTGGTTAGCTGGCGTGAGGGTATAGACCAGGGTGGGACATGACGTCTGGAGCAGTGTGCTGGAGACAGGTAAGCATTGTGAGTGGAGATGACCGCCAGCAGGAAAAGCCCGAGGCCGCCAGCAGGCCTGCCCCAGCTGTGGTCCCCTTCACCTCCGCTCTAGGCCCCATGAGCACTGGGGGTGGGGGGCAAAGGGAAGAGCCTGATGTACCAGGAGCCAAGCCCGGAAGACTGGAGACAGGGGCCACTGAGGTGGACTCCAGGAGGAGCCCCCATGCTCTGGGCCAGACCCGGAAGTGCTCCCTATTCAGGGCCCCTGGAGCTCCGCTGTGGAGCCCTGTGCTGCTGTCTCCTATTGCGCCGCCACCGTGAGCATTTAGCCCGTGGCTCGTGGGACTGCAGAGCTGTCTTGGAAATGAAAGGAGCCACATTGGCTCCTGGCTGCTACTGCAGAGGACAGGGCAGACCTGGACCCCCATCGTTCAGCCCTGGCTGCCTACCGCTCACGTTTCTGGCATTGGACGCCTCCACCTCCTGAGACCCTCATGCTTCATCAGGAAGCTCACACAGATTAGCCCCCTCAGAGGCTTGCCGTCATCCCTCTGTACGCGGGAATCTCGGGACTGAAAATGAGAAAGGAGCCAGTGTGGTGAGCCCCTGCCATTCCCACACCAGGGAGGCTGGAGCAGGGGTGAACCTCTGCCATCAGGGAGGCTGGAGCAGGGGTGAACCCCTGCCATCCCCACACCAGAGAGGCTGGAGCAGGGGCGTTATGAGTTGGAGGTTAGCCTGTGCTACAGAGCTTTGTCTTTGAAAGGGAAACTCATGAAAGTTTCCCCAGAGGATGGTAGAGCCGGGTCTTCACCAGGGATTGTCTCCACTGTTGGTGACCTTCCTTCAACGGGACAGTTCTTGCATTTAATCAGTTGGACAGACTAGTTCTCCAGCAGCCCCTCGCCAGCCACAGGGTCCCCGTCTTGCCTTATGAAGGGGTTTCCATGCCTCTCCCTCCATCCTTTCACTCCATGGGGACTGGCTGGCTGGCAGGCAGGTGACTGCTGCGCTCGGGCGAGGTAGGCAGTGAGTGCAGACAGCCCCGACACTCAGAACTGTCCGGTCACACAGAGGAGCTGAACAGAGCCAGAAGACCTGAGGCAGGGTGTGAGCTGTTCCCGGTTCGGTTCGCAGCCCCGCCCCCAGTGCTTCTGGAAGCATCAGAACAGAGGACACACGATGGCTTCTAGCTCAGGCTTCTGAGCATTGGCAATCTACAGAAACGGCTGGTGCCCAGTGCCCACTGCTGAGTCAAAAGTACACGGCTGTTTTCATTGCGTCAGCCGCCAGGCCTGACAACCAGTATCATGTTGGAACCGGGCCCCGGGGTCGGGGGTCACACCTGCCTGGCTCCCAGGTCTCCACTCTGTTACTGGCAGACTTCTGTTCATATACCTTCATAAACGTTGTATACCTTTTTCTAGCTCCCAGGTGGACGCGGCCTCTTCCTCCTCAGACTAGGACAAAGCTTTCGACCCTAGCTGTCCAATAGAATCAGCTGGGAACTTTAGAAAAATACCAGCTTCCAGGCCCCAGCCAGACTTGTTGACTGTAGTCTTAGGGCCTTGGGCATTTTTTTTCATGGGAGTTGGCTCTGTGTGGACCTCCTCATCCCTAGCCTCACAGCACCTACGTGTTCCTGCTTCCTGTCACTTGTCTGTCCTGGCTGGGCTAAATCACCTGTGTGGTTCTGAATGCATGACTGTCACAGAAAGCCCCTTTCCCACTGAATGAGACCCTCCTCCTCTGCATCACTTCAGCTTTTGGGCGCCATAATGTTGTCCCCAACTTCCCAAGGTTCTTTTATTTATTTAATTTTTTTTCGAGACAGGGTTTCTCTGTAAAGCCCTAACTGTCCTAGAACTTACTATGTAGACCAAGCTGGCCTTGAACTCACAGAGATCTGCCTGCCTCTGTCTCCTGAGTGCTGGGATCAAAGGCTTGCTCCACCACCACCGGTGGGAGGTACTTTCTTAATCACCCCCATGTTTGCCACTCTGGAGGAGCCTCTTCCTCTAGAGTAGCTCTGTCTGTCACACCTGTTAGAGGGAGCACTTAGCTTTAGAGCAAACAGATCCAGAACTGGGGGGCAGGGGCACTGTCTGGTCATCGAGAGAGCGCAGAGGACTGCGCTTAGCAAGCTTTAGATTGCCAGGCCGGCACCCGCCAGCGTCCGGTCCTTCTGTTGGTAGCCGAGGGGCCACGGAAGATCTCCCAGGATGGAACTCTGTTCCTCTAAAGCTTCTTGGTGCCTTGGTGAACAAGCAGGAGCGGGCTTGATCTCTTGTCTGGGTTTTTGAGGCAGTGTTTCCAAGATCACAGGTGTGCACAGCTGGGTCACAGGCGTGCACCGCTGGACCAGGTATGACAGGGTCGTTCCTGAGTGGACTGCGAGGCCCATGAGGACCCACACATCCCATCTCCTTCTCTTCCTTAATTGCTAGTGACCAGCCAGGCCGGTTGACACATGTCTGTAACCCCGGCATTTGAGAGAGACGGAAGCAGGAGGATCAGATATTGAAGGTCACCCTAGCTATGCAATGAGTTCTAGGCCAGCCTGGACTATATGTGTCCCTGTCTAAAAAAGAAAACAACAAAACCCTTATCATCATTGACCACTGGACATGGCCAGCTTTAAGGAGGCCAGTGACTCCATGCCTGTCGCTCTCTCGCTGGACTGACTATGTCTAACCGTCACGTGTGCTATTCAGACTGAAGAGTGTTTCATAGAGCAGTCGAGCTATCGTTGGGGTTTGAGTGTCTTCCAGGCAGGGAGGGTTCGTTCTGGGTCCCTGGAATGTCCGGAGGAGCATGAGGGACCTCGGGGTGCACTGACTCTGTCGTGAAGAGGGACTTTGACTTACTTGAGAGGCACCAGCTGAGGGTGTCACATGTCCTCCCCTGCCAGATGTGGATGAGTGCGTGGAAGGGACTGACCACTGCCACATCGATGCCATCTGCCAGAACACGCCACGGTCATACAAGTGCATCTGCAAGTCCGGCTACACTGGGGATGGCAAACACTGTAAAGGTGAGATTTGGAGGCGCTGCCGAAGGGCCTGCTCCACAGTTCCCGGAGGCCTGCAGCCTCTACAAGCCGAGGAGGGCAGACATATCTGAGAGCCCTGTTCTGGTTGGCACCAAACAAAGCGTTGCCCCGACCAACCAGAGTGCTGGTCATCGCCTCAGAGCTGCCTCGAGCGGGCACGCCTCATCACGAAACTACACACAAGATCCCTGAAGCAGGGACCTCTGCGTGCTTGTTCCCTTCCTGTCATGCTCAAGGAGGGGAACCACAAGCGTATCTTCTGCTATAGTTAAAACCCTGCAAAGCAGCCTAGGAGTATTGTTCTCAGTGTGTGACCCCGAGTACCCCTGCAGCAGCGTCGGTGGGCAAGGTGCATGCCGCTTCCTGTTAGCATAATGGACCGAGAACCGCAGTTGCCCCCTAGGGTCTGGGAGGTGTTGGTTCAAGGATGACCCCCCCAGCAATACCAAAATTTAAAAAAAGGTCCAAGTTCACTACATAAAATATCGCGGCTGCTCATATGTGATCTTCAGCACCCTCCAGTCTCTCTCTCTCTCTCTCTCTCTCTCTCTCTCTCTCTCTCTCTCTCTCTCTCTCTCTCTCTCTGGGCACAGACGTGGACGAATGTGAACGGGAGGACAACGCAGGCTGTGTTCACGACTGTGTTAACATCCCTGGTAATTACCGATGCACCTGCTATGACGGATTCCACCTGGCACATGATGGCCACAACTGTCTGGGTGAGCGAGGGAGGCTTGGCGGGCATTCGGTGGGAAGGAGTTGTTCCAGCCTTTGTGAGGTGATGAGGGAAAAGTGGTCAAAAGGACTGAATTCTTTCACGGGAGCGTGGCCGCCTCCCCTGAGGGTGACAGCGGTGGGCTTAGCTCTGCCCGCGTAGGACCCGTGGGGCCTTGAGCGAGTCAACTAGCCTCTGGGAGCCTTAGACTCCTCACCCCTACAGTGCATCAGTGCCCTTCCCGGAGGCTGCCCCTTAGACTCCTCACCCCTACAGGGCATCAGTGCCCTTCCCGGAGGCTGCCCCTTAGACTCCTCACCCCTACAGGGCATCAGTGCCCTTCCCGGAGGCTGCCCCTTAGACTCTTCACCCCTACAGGGCATCAGTGCCCTTCCCGGAGGCTGCCCCTTAGACTCCTCACCCCTACAGTGCATCAGTGCCCTTCCCGGAGGCTGCCCCTTAGACTCCTCACCCCTACAGGGCATCAGTGCCCTTCCCGGAGGCTGCCCCTTAGACTCCTCACCCCTACAGGGCATCAGTGCCCTTCCCGGAGGCTGCCCCTTAGACTCCTCACCCCTACAGGGCATCAGTGCCCTTCCCGGAGGCTGCCCCTTAGGGCTAGTTTTGTCCCCACCCATCCTATCTCCAGTTCTGCCTGATGTCCCTTGTCCCAGGAGCTCTGTCACAGACGGGATCCCTGGGCCACTAAACTCAGCGTCAGCCTGTCACTTTCTGAGAGTTACTCAGGCCAAGTTTCCCCCTTAGTAGAAAATCGGAAGTGTACAACAAGATTTGAGTTGGGTCTTTCCAACCCCAGTTGTCACCAAGAACTAACCATAGAGACGAGAGAGGGAGTAGGTCCCGAGGGGGCCAGAGTTACAAAAGTCTGTGTAAGGATTGAAGGCCTCAACCATCCCTCACCTCTTAGGGAACCCCTGAGAAAACGCCATGTTGTGGGCCTCAGTAGAGGATGGGAAGGCAGTAGAGAGAGCGTAGAGATGGAGTCACTGAAGTGAGCTCTCGGGGTGAGCTTGACCCCAGGGGTGGTGACTTGGGGGCACCCTATTGTTCCTCCTCTACCACCCCGGGTGTGGCCTGGCCACCCTCCCCCACCCTTCCATACCACTCTGCCAGACTTTGTTTTGTTAAACCAAAATAGGAGAAAAACTAGGGACCATGGCAATGAGCCCGGGCCTGGGGGAGGGGGGAAGGCGGAGGTTGTGGCCTGTCCACGGAAGTGGCCCTGGCCTCCTGAGGACTTGTGACTCAGCTGCCATCCCCGCCATCTCTATCACCACAGCTGTACTGCTGTCTGAGGATGGCGCTGTTTCCAGGTTCCCCGATTTCCTGGCTGCTCACCACAGCTAGCCGCCGCTCCTGGTGCTCCGCCGCCGCTGGCTGGCCAGTGCGGCTAGGCTCCATCCTCGTCTTCACCGATGTTCCTGTCACTCGGGCTTCTCTCCTGCCCTCTGTGCTCAGGCCCAGGGTTTTCATTTATTTGCTGAGATTTTGTGTGTATAAGCATGTATGTTCTGTGTACCACATGCCTGAGGTACCCGTGGAGGCCAGGAGAGGACGCTGGTTTCCTGAGAACCTGAGTTCCAGGCAGTTAGCCGCATGTGCACACTGGGAATAGAACTCAGGTCCTCAGAAGAGCGGTCAGGGCTCACGAGCTATATCTTTCTAGGCTTGAGCGGGGTCAAACCCGGGCTCCCTGGAGTGGGTGAGGGGTCCAGTCCTCACCGAGGCTGGCCAGGTTGGGATGCTCCTCACTCGCCCTGCCTGAGCTCTCCCCTTCGTGTCTTGCTAAGGATGGCTCTTGTGTATGCATTGGGTTTTTTTTTTTTTTCTTTTGGTTTTTACGAGACAGGGTTTCTCTGTATTGTTTTGGAGGCTGTCGGTCCAGCCCGGCCTCGAACTCACAGAGATCCGCCTGCCTCTGCCTCCCGAGTGCTGGGATTAAAGGCGTGCGCCACCACCGCCCGGCTCATGCATTGAGTTCTTACGCGTCTCAGTCTTCGGTGCTGGTACCATAGCCCCGCCAATCACCTGTCTCGAACAGATGTGGACGAGTGTGCGGAAGGCAACGGCGGCTGTCAGCAGAGCTGTGTTAACATGATGGGGAGTTATGAATGCCACTGCCGAGAGGGCTTCTTCCTCAGCGACAACCAGCACACCTGTATCCAGCGGCCCGAAGGTCAGCCCTGCCCGGGAGGCCCCAGCGACCCTCCCTGCTTCCCCTCAACATTCCGAGTCTCACTCTCTAGATCCCTCTCGGTCTTAACTGAGTCACGGCCTATGGGCTCTGTGCATAGACAGTGTATCGGAGAGAAATCTGTGGGCTAAATGCGGGCTCAGGCTGACATGGAACTGAGGCTGCTTTGAGGTGTTCTCTGTGGTGCTCATTCCTGTGCTGAGCATTTGCCTGTAAGCTGCCACTTCTCAGGGACAGCCTCCCCAACATCCCCTTCCACGGCCTGGGTTGGGAAGGTTGTTAGACAGAAGCATGTTCTTTCCTTCACTGGAAATGATACCCTGAGGGCAATAGCTATGTCTAGTCTGCCTTTATGTCACAATGCCTAACGTGCTGCCCTACCTGCAGTAGGAACTTAATAAAAGTGTGGCATAGCCGGGCATGGTGGTGCACGCCTTTAATCCTAGTGCTCAGGAGGCAGAGGCAGGCGGATCTCTCTGAGTTCAAGGCCAGCCTGGTCTACAGACTGAGTTCCAGGACAGCCAGAGCTACACAGAGAAACCCTGTCTCCAATTAAAAAAAAAAGGTGGCAATGGTAATTATTTCCCACTTTATCAGTCTGATTGCTATTTATCTCCAGATTTCTAGTCTCAGTGTAAGCTCTTTGAGCAAAGAGGTCCTGGTTTAGATTTTTCTGGGTCCTTCCTAAATCTAGAGCACCTCCGGATTTCGCTTGACCCTCATAGTCTCCTTAGCCCCAACTGGTCCCGCCCCATCTGAGTCCTCCAGGTACAGATGGAGCACCACCCTCTCTTCCCTTTTTAGAAGGAATGAATTGCATGAACAAGAACCATGGCTGCGCCCACATTTGCCGGGAGACGCCCAAGGGGGGCATTGCCTGTGAATGCCGCCCTGGCTTTGAGCTCACCAAGAACCAACGGGACTGTAAACGTGAGACATATGAGGGCGGGGGTGGGGGGTTGGGGGGGTGGGGGGGTGGGGGACAGGAGCCCAGGGGCAGGGACTCGGGGGCGGAGGGCGCGGGGTGGAGGAACAGGGTGAGAAAAGGGTAGCTTTCCAACCCTGCTGACCTGCAGCACAGGGGGAAAGCGGGCTAATAGGTCTCCTCTCTCTCTCTCTCTCTCTCTCCCTCTCTCTCCCTCTCTCTCCCTCTCTCTCTGCAGTGACCTGCAACTATGGTAACGGCGGCTGCCAGCACACATGCGATGACACAGAGCAGGGCCCCCGGTGCGGCTGCCACGTCAAGTTTGTGCTCCACTCTGACGGGAAGACGTGCATCGGTGGGTGCAGCTGGGGGACAGCTCACGCCACTTGTGATGGGGTGGGGGCAGGGGCGGGGAGCTGCAGGGGAGGGGAGACTCAGGGCTCTAGGTGCTAGATATGGTAACTGATGAGTGAAGACCCCCTATGATGGCAGGTCTGGTGAGGGATGGCTCTGGGACACTAAAAGACATACTACTTGCCCATCCCCCTCCCTAGGAGTCTCACCCACCCCTTCCTCCCAGGTTGAAGCTTGGTCAAACCAGGAGCCATTAGCAGAAGTGATTGTCCACGAGACTGTAGGGATGATGGTCCACAAGACTGTAGGGATGATGATTTACAAGACTGTAGGGATGTCCACAAGACTGTAGGGATGATGGTCCACGAGACTGTAGGGATGTCCACAAGACTGTAGGGATGTCCACGAGACTGTAGGGATGATGGTCCACAAGACTGTAGGGATGTCCACGAGACTGTAGGGATGTTCACGAGACTGTAGGGATGATGGTCCACAAGACTGTAGGGATGATGGTCCACAAGACTGTAGGGATGATGGTCCATGAGACTGTAGGGATGTCCACGAGACTGTAGGGATGATGGTCCACGAGACTGTAGGGATGATGGTCCACGAGACTGTAGGGATGCCCACAAGACTGTAGGGATGCCCACAAGACTGTAGGGATGATGGTCCACAAGACTATAGGGATGATGATTTACAAGACTGTAGGGATGATGGTCCACGAGACTGTAGGGATGACTTGAGGAACTCTGGGCCAGTCAGCTGAGCAGTTGACCCTGGCCCTGGTTGACCAGTGTGGTGAGGTGGGGAATGCCACAGTTCAGTGTCCCCACTGCCGAACAGGCCAGGACATACTGCCATATTGCTTGTCCTGAGAGCAGTTAGCGGTGGGCTGGCAGTAGGGTGGCTCCAGGCTTGCTTCCTCTTTACCCCTGCAAGTTCCCTTCCCGCCCTTCACCTGAAGCCCCCAGGCCCATCTCCCACTGAGCATCCGGTGGTACTGGATCTCCACTGTGCCCGTGGCTGCCCACACCCCTCAGCTGCTGCGGCCTTCCCATCCCCCCCTGCCTGAAACCCTTCTCCTGAATTCCTAGGCCTGACCCAGGTCTCCAGGTACCCCAAATGTGCTAATTCCTTACCGTTACCTTTTGATTTCCCTGTGTTGCTATTTCTTCAGTGGTGAGATGACTGGACAAGGTATCTATCCCCTTAGAGAAGTGGGAGATGGAAGGGAGGACTTTGGCTGAGGTGAGGCAGGGTCTCCAGCCAGGCAGAGACAGGCATAACGACTCTGTAGGCAGGGACATTCATGGAGACGGGTGGGCCACAGCAGGCCGGCCGGGAAAGGAAAGGTGAACACAGGGGATCTGTGAAGCCCTGTGTGTCCAAGGCAGATTCAGGTTAGGGACCGCTCGGTCCCTTGCCCCCTGTCCCATTCACTTCAGCCACAGGCCAGGGGAACAGATGGTCTCCCCCAGGGTTCCCAGCACCTGCTCCAGATCCGCGTGGATGCAGGGTGCTGCCGTAAGGGAAAGCTCTCCTGCCTGCTGTGCTCTCTCTAACTCTTCAAAGACCCTGCAACAGGTTCAGGTCTTCCTGTCGCCTTCTCTGGCTGGGTTGTCCCAGCTCCTTTCGTACACTCCTGATAGGGCCAATTCGCCCGCTTGACAAACCTCTCACCACTCTTTGGACACACCCACACATCCCCAGATTCTTCCAGAAGAAGCTGCATGTGGTCCCTAGGGAGAAGAGACGGGGGCCCCATGGGGAAGAGGCAGGACAGAGCAAGTGTGGCCTTTCCTTCCCCCTCCCCTCCCCCTCCTGCTCTAAGGGGGATGAGCTTACTTGCCTTGGCAGGTGTTACCAGGACACTCGGAGTCGGGAGACTGGGAGTGCAGTCTAGTTAAAACAGGGACTTGGGAGGTGGCTGAGCGCAAGACATTGGTATCTCATGCCAGCTTAGCCTGGGACATGCTGTGTGGGGCTGGACCCACAGCTGCTCTCCTTGAGACTCTGATGGGGACCTCACTTCTTTGGGGGTACCGGGTAGGACAAAGGGTGAGGAAGGAGGCTAATCTGGGGTCCCAGGGATCACCAAATGGGGCTAGTGGTTTGGACCTTCAGGGTGGAGGGCGTGGGGTGGGCCCCGGGGCCCAGTGGGCTGCAGCAGCACCGGCTCCAGATCTAAACAGCTTTTTTACGATGTCAAACAGGGGAAAGGCGCTTAGAGCAACACATGCCCACTCAGGCCGTTTCCAATGGTAACTATGTCTGCTCTGCGCTCGCACTCACCGGCTTGCTAGGGAAGGGCTAACCTGCTGGGGTTCCCACTAACCGCATGCCCCGCAGGGCTCCCCCGGCAGTGTGGGCACCAGGCCCATCAGGTGGCAGGGAACCTGAGTCCCTAAGCGCTGGCCTGGGGACCTTTATGCCCATCATCTTCCTGGTTCCTCTCCTTCCTCTCTGCTTCCTCTCCCTGTGCCACCTTCTAACACCCCATCCCTTCCCAGCCACCAGCAACCCCTGTCGCCGCGTCTAAGGTCTCAGCCAGTGCCGTCCTGCCCATCATTTCCACTATATACCCGGAGATAAGGCACATCAGAGTTGGATGCCATCCCCTCTGTGGGATATCCTCCTAGGGTTCTTACTGCTGGTACATCACGGGCTCATCTCTGCCTGATGTCGGGCTCAGCAGACCTGAGTGTGGACCCTGGTTCTCCCATGTTCTTCCTGGCCAGTCTCGCATGAGCCCCATCTTCTCTGACCCTCAGCCCACATGACCAGAACAGCATGTGGCATGTGGTCAGTGCTTTGCACAAAGGGCAGGGCAAGTCATGGCCTCCTGCCACCCTCCTGCCTGAGCAACTGTCCAGCAGAGGTGGGCAACTCTGTCCAGCTTCCTGGTGCAGCCTGGCGTAGGCACCCCGTCAGTTCCGTGCCCATCCTGGGTCCTCCAGAGGATGTACACACACACAGGGTCTTGTCAGGTTTTGGTGGCCTTCTTTCCATACTTAGACCACTTCTGGGGGAGACTGGACTTGAGCTCCTCATGGTCTGGGGAACCTCATGGAGACCACAAGAGAGGAGAGCGCACTTAGACTCCTTTTGGAAGCTCTGCACACTGCCCTCGTTGGTGACAAGGGTGACAGGTCACTCCAGGTCCCCACGTCAGGGTCTTGCGCTCCTGGGGCTGACGGCTTTCCCTTGGACCCACTCTCCAAAACAGCTGTTTGAATCTGCTTCCTCCTTCCTGCTCTGGCCTCGCAGCGGACTCACAACTCACAAGGGAAACTTAGCCCAACCAGGCTCTGAACTTTCTCCCTGGAGTCTTCCTCTCCAGCCCCGCCTTGCACATTAGCTCGCCAGCAAAATAAAAGAGGCAGCCAGCCAGCTTGTTTCCAGTGAGGCTTTGGGGAGAAGTTAAAGGTGGATGTCCCAGCTTGGCTATCTCCTCTGAGGCAGGGAGTCAGGCCTGCAGTGTCAGGGAGGGGGATGAATCCATGGGCCGCCACCCTCGGAGTCTTGAGACACTCTTCCCCACCAAACCTATTAGGAGACTGTCCACCACGAACCCCTCCACCCCCAAGACAGGAAGAAACTGGTCTGTCCCCTCTGTTCCCCAGCAGGCAGGACCCTCCCATTGCTTTCATCTCTCCTGCTTCCCGCCCCCCACTCCCCTCAGCACATTCCTGCCTGACAGCTCCGGCTTGTACCTGCCTCGCTGCTGTCCACACCTTGTTTCAATCAAGTAGGGGGCAGGGATGCGGGGGCGCTTGGCTGCACTCGCCAGGGGCTGGGCCTCGGGAGGAAGGGGAGGCTGGAGCCTGGGGCTTCTGCCTGGTGCCCCCGCTGAACTCCAGCGAGGTGGCTGAGGCCTTCCCACAGGCCCCGCTCCCTAGGCCAGTGACCCCATCACTACCCACACCCTCCCCCGACAGAGACCTGCGCCGTCAACAACGGAGGCTGCGACAGTAAATGCCACGACGCGGCCACCGGTGTCCACTGCAGCTGCCCTGTGGGTTTCATGCTACAGCCAGACAGAAAAACCTGCAAAGGTGAGACCGGAGGGTGGGGTGGGGACAGAGAAGAGAGTGGGCCCCACACCCCCCAACTCCCTTACAGAGAACCCACGGCGGCGGTGGCGGCGGAAGCTGAGGGGTGTCGCCTGTCTGCCGCCCCCATCTCAGCTCAAAGGGCACCAAAGTCTGCCTCCCGGGCCTAGGCTCCCTTGTTCCTGCTCCCGCCCCTGTCCCTGCACGGGGAGGAGGGTCCTAGCCCTGAATGAACGTTGCCACCCCCGAGCTGGCGGGGTATCTGAGCTGACTGTGTGTCCCAGGTCATGGGTGTTTTTGAACTTTTTGAACCTGCATTCCTCAGGTCTTCCCAGTGGCTCTGGAATGAGACCTCTCTTAGAAAAGGCGTACGAGGGAGAGTTAGGGGCTCCAAGAGGAGAGCTCTGCCTCCCCAGGGCGGTGCCCCCCCCCCCGGGCTGCCCACTGCAGGGTGCTGTGCCCAGCTCCCTGCAGTGCGCCTTGCTCGTGCTGTGGGGACAGACGGACTGTGTGCCAGTTAGACAGATGCCATTGTGGTTTCAGTTCCCACACCGGCCACTCTGCTTCCCCTCCTTCCGGTTAGCTGGGGTTTGTGGACCAGGAGGGAGCAGAGGGGAGGGTAGCCATTTTGAAAATGATGGCTCCTCGTGTCTGCGTGCCCCTGGTCATGAGAAGTGGGCACTGGGAGGTAGCGCCTGGCTCCTTCTTTGTGTCTTTTGGCCCAGCAGCTGCTGGGGGGGGGGGCGGGGGCGGGGGCAGGCTGGGGCAGCAGGTCAGCCAGCGGCTGTAGAGAGGTTTCCTGCTGGGAAGGACTGTTGACAGGTGGCCAGGCCCAGTGAAGGCCCTGCCCCCTCCCCTCTGTGGTGAGTAGCCTGGGTCCTGTCTGCCACCAGCTAGGGGAACTTGACCTCAGGGAGGAGGCTGCTCACGCCCCTTTCCCTCTGGTACCCAAAGCTGCCGGGCTCCGAGTCTCTCCAGGCCACTCCAGGCCAGTCCCCAGCCTGGTCCCACTCAGCATCTCAGCCTCTCTCTCGGAAGCCCTTTCCACCTCCAATTCTTCCTGAAGGCCGCCCCTTCCCGGCAAGTCCCTTCAGGCTCTCCATATAGCCAGGGCCCAGTTTAGCATTCCTGACCCAAACTTTGCGACAGGAGTCGGGGATTTGAATGGAGAGCCCTATCTACAGTCGTGGGAATGGCTACCAGCGGGATAAGGGATGTAGACCAGCCTGGAGTTCAAGTGGCCTCCTGTCACCCTAACTCCAGACGGTTGTTAGCTACTGGCCTAGGTGTTTCCTGGACTCAGCTCAAAAGAGAAGGTGCTGTAAGGGCCAGATGTCCTGAACAGGGAAGACATGGGGACAGAGGGTGAAAGCCGAGTTAAAAGGGACAGGCCAGGGCCCTCCTTGGTTATCCTTGTCTCTTCGAGGAAAAGATCTTGCTTCCTTTTTGCTCCTAGCCTTCCATATCGTCCCTCATTCTATTATGTCTGCTCCCCAGACATAGACGAGTGCCACTCAAACAATGGGGGGTGTGACCACATCTGCCGCAACACAGTGGGCAGCTTTGAGTGCAGCTGTAAGAAGGGTTACAAGCTTCTCATCAATGAAAGGAGCTGCCAGGGTAAGCAGGCTTCGGGGACCTGCCGGTGCCGGAGGGGCTCTTGGGTGTGGCAGCTTCGGGGGTGCCAGAGTCTAAGCAACCCCCTGGAGCCGGGAGCATCGGTAGGGGCGGTGTTAGCTGTAGGCAGCCAATGGTCCTCCTTCCTTCTCCAAGACCAGCTTCATGCTAAGGCACACGGCTTGGCGAGGGGGGAGAGTTTTCACCACAACCCAGATCCTTCCAGATCCTTCCAGATGTGACCTGCTACAGCTGCTAGGTCATGACCCACAGGTCCCGGACCCTGACAGAAACTCCAGGCAGAGGGCAGGCACAGATCGGGAGGCAGTCCAGGGTCCCTTTCAGGTGCCCCGAGACACACTCAGTGGCTCAAACCCTCGCTCTTCCAGACATAGATGAGTGCTCTTTTGACCGAACCTGTGACCACATGTGCATCAACACTCCAGGAAGTTTCCAGTGTCTCTGTCACCGTGGCTACCTGCTGTATGGTGTCACTCACTGTGGGGGTGAGTCAGCAAGTTCCTATCGCCCTGTTTCCCAGCCACTCCAGTCCCTCGCCTCTCCACCCTGTCTGGTGTCCCTGCGCCGACTGGCGGTAATAAGAAACAAATCCCTGGGCGCCCCCGTCATGTCTGCATCCAGCATGATAAAAAGAAGGCCGCTTCCCAAGGCCAGCTGGCAGACAGTGCACCAGGGACAGCACCCTGCCAGCGAGGGGTTTGCTTATTTAAGGGTCTCATGAACCCTAGGCTGGCCTGCAACACGCTGTGTAGCCAGAGCGACCCTGAACTCCTGATCCTCCTGCCGTCACTTCCCAAGCGTTGAGACTGCGGGCGGCACACCATCGTGCCCAGACTCTGAGACCTCCTAGGTTCTACCTCCACCCCATCACTATCCCTAGACACCCACCCTCAGTCTGTAGCCCAGTGCCAGGGTAAGAATGGAGGAAGGCTTTGAAATGATGCTGGTCAAGTTGGCACATGCCCAAAGTGTCTTTGACTGCGGATGGAGAGGGTGGGGGGGGGCGGGTTGAGCTCTCCACAGGTCACAGAACCCTTAAATATCGTTGTGAGAATATTTACCAGGGTCTCCCCAGCTGACAGGTCTGTAGAAACACAGCAGATCTCTCTGAGGTGCTCCCTCACCTTGTATAACTCGGTGTCTGACACTTAACGAAGCTCCCGCCTCGCAGCCCAGTCCCGGGCTCCTGCTACCCCGCCACTCTAGCCTGTTCCCATCCTCCCACAGATGTGGACGAGTGCAGCATCAACAAGGGCGGTTGCCGCTTTGGCTGCGTCAACACTCCCGGCAGCTATCAGTGTACCTGCCCAGCGGGCCAGGGCCGCCTTCACTGGAACGGAAAGGATTGCACAGGTGTGTGCTGCCCTCTGCTGGCGGGACCTGGCCATGCGGTTTCAGGGGAAGGCTGGAGTCTGGTGGGAAGGTGTGCCGGGTAGCAGGGTGGGGGACGTAGCCAGCTGGGTTGGGCAAGCCGTTTCTGGCTAAGGTGTGCCCGGTCTCCTTGGGGCGCATCTGTAGTTCTGCACACAGGAAGTCTCTTTTTCTCAGCCGTGTGAGGGAGAAGGAGGCCGAGGCATGCTCCATATCCTCAGGCCTTGGTCCCCTTCCTAGAGCCAGTGAAATGTCAGAGCAACGCTGGGGCCTCCAAAGCCATGCTTAGCTGCAACCGGTCTGGCAAGAAGGACACTTGTGCCCTCACCTGCCCCTCCCGGGCCCGGTTTTCACCAGGTATGTGGGGAGAAGGGGCAGAGAGCTTGGGGGAGAAGTTGGCTGTCCAGCAGCTCCTCTGTCCCCCGGGGATCCCTCCAACTATTGGGGGTCGGGAGGCAGGTCAGAGCCGTGACAGGCCCCTTCTCTCAGAGTCCGAGAACGGCTTCACCGTGAGCTGTGGCACCCCTAGCCCCAAAGGTGCTCCAGCCCGAGGCACCCACCCTGGAAACAGCACCGCCTCCAACTATTGCCACGGTGAGCACCTGCCCAGAGGCTCCTCTCCTCCCTAAACGCCGCAGTTCTCACTCTTGCTGGACCCCATGTGTCACTTTGTGACTCTCCGCCTTGGCCCTGCTGTCTGATACCGTGGCTTCCACATCCTGCTCTCCAGATGACACTCACTGCCCAGCTTTCAGCCGCCTTCCCCAGCTGCCTCCCCCAGCTGCCTCGCCCCCACCCCAGCTGCCTCGCCCCACCCCCAGCTGCCTTGCCCCACCCCCAGCTGCTTCACCCCCACCCCAGCAGCCTCACCCCACACCCCAGCTGCGCTGAGTGAGCTTCTCTCACCCCTCCAGAGGCTGCAGTGCTGTCAGTGAAGCAGCGGGCCTCCTTCAAGATCAAGGACGCCAAATGTCGTCTGCACCTGCGAAACAGAGGCAAAGCGGAGGAAGCCAGCAGGATCCCGGGGCCAGGTCTGGGGTTCACTCCAGAGGGTTCCGCCAAACTCTCCCCGCCCTCAGCCCCGCTGTCTGTCCTGTCCAGCCAGTCCCCTGTACCCTGAGCTCTGGACAGAAAAGGGGGGGCTGTTGTAGACTAAGGTCCAAGAAGGCCAGCATTGTTCCCTTCCACCGGGTAAAGCAGACAAGGAGAGGGCTGCAGGCAGCGATGAGCTCAGGGCTGCCTGGGCCGGACACAGAAATGAGAGCCAGGAGGGGAGTCCCCGAGTTTGAAGTTGACAGGGCCTCTGTTTCTAGGTGGTACCCCTTGCTCTGACTGCCAAGTCACCTTCATCCACCTTAAGTGTGACTCTTCTCGGAAGGGCAAGGGCCGACGGGCCCGGACCCCTGGCAAGGAGGTTACCCGGCTCACCCTGGAATTAGAGGCCGAGGTCCGAGCAGAAGAAACGACAGGTGGGCATACGGACACTGTTGGGTGGAGGCCAAGGAGGAGGCACACAGCTGGAGGGGGGGCGGCCTGTGTACCGGCAGCAGCAGGCTCCTGGGCTGCCTCTCCCCGCCACCCCCCCCCCCCGCCATCGCTCCCCTGCTTCCTGCCCTGACCCCTCTCTCTGCCCCTTCTGACCCATACGACCGTCCATCACCAGCTGGCTGCGGGCTGCCCTGCCTCCGACAGAGGATGGAGAGGAGACTGAAAGGCTCCCTGAAGATGCTCAGAAAGTCCATTAACCAGGACCGATTCCTGCTGCGCCTGGCAGGCCTTGACTATGAGCTAGCCCACAAGCCAGGCCAGGTAGCCGGGGACCGAGCAGAGCTGGCGGAGATCTGCAGGCCCGGGCAGCACCGGGCAGGCACCAAGTGTGGTAAGAGAGCTTGCTGGGAAATCAAGGGTGTCGGGGAGGGAGAGCCCCGATAGGCCCTGGCTCAGAGCAGAGCAGGGCTCTGTCTCAGGTGCAGTTCTCAGACTGTGAGGCAGCGAAGGCCCTCCTGCCTGACTGCTGTCCTCCCTTCCCTCGTCCCAGGCTGAAATCTAGGATGTCAGGCAGGCCCAGCGGCCCTCCTGCACACAGATTTGACCTCCCTGCCTCTCTAAGCAGGGTTCTGTTGGCGCCCTCACAGATTTCCCCCCCATCTGGGAGAGTGGGAAGGGGAGTCTTAGGTCTGGGTGGGAGATGGGGGTTGGCTAGCACGGCCGACTCTCCCTCAGTCAGCTGCCCGCAGGGAACGTATTACCACGGCCAGACGGAGCAGTGTGTACCATGCCCAGCGGGCACCTTCCAAGAGAGGGAAGGGCAGCTCTCCTGCGACCTTTGCCCTGGGAGTGATGCCCATGGGCCTCTTGGAGCCACCAACGTCACCACGTGTGCAGGTGCCAGGGGAACAAATAACAGACCGGGCTAGGGTGGGCGCTGGGACGGCCTCGGGCATGGGATTTTCCAAAGGGCAGGCCCAGGCTCCAGGCCACTCTCCTAGTTGGTGTTCTGTTTGTGTGTCTCTGTTCCCTGAGGCTGGGGTGACCCCGTGGAGTGACTCAGGAACAACCCCATCAGAGTTGGGCCCTTGCTTCATCTTAGGTCAGTGCCCACCTGGCCAGCATTCAGTGGATGGGTTTAAGCCCTGCCAGCCATGCCCGCGGGGCACCTACCAGCCTGAAGCGGGACGAACCCTGTGCTTCCCCTGTGGCGGAGGCCTCACTACCAAGCACGAGGGGGCGGTCTCCTTCCAGGACTGTGATGCCAAAGGTGAGTAGGTTAGTTATCCCACCAGGGGCCTGCCTGACCTCAACTGCCCTCCCAAACCTTCTCCGTGCCCTGTGTAGACATGAGTATGTTACTCCCCAATGTTCCCGGAAGAGCGAAGGCCCAGCTGCCTAACCAAACCCCGGGCCTGCCTGCCAAACCTGGGGATACAAAGTAACTAGTAATCCCACTTAGCTTTGGAGAGTGGGTGGTCACTCGCCTCCCTCCCCCAGCCGGAGGGCGGCTGCTGTAGGAGCCAGCCACCCTGGAAAGTCTCCCCCCCCCCCAGCCTTAAATTATGGCCTGACTGGGAAAGGTAGGGACCCCGGAGAAACTTGTCTTTGATCTCCTGATCCGCCATGAGGAATGTGTCCCGCCCATCCATGGCCCAGAAGCCCACTTCTCTAGTCTTAGCTCCCCTACCTCCCTCCCTCCCGCCTGCAGTCCAGTGCTCCCCCGGCCACTACTACAACACCAGCACTCATCGCTGCATCCGCTGTGCCATGGGCTCCTACCAGCCACACTTCCGGCAGAACTTCTGCACCCGCTGCCCGGGGAACACCAGCACCGACTTTGATGGCTCTACCAGCGTGTCCCAGTGCAAGAGTACGTATGTGGCGGGCCAGGCTGTGGGAAGTGGACGGTCGTCTGGGAGCCATGGACAAGGGGTGGGGCTGGGGAATAAGCCCACAGGCAGCCGGGCTGGTGGGCAGGCAGGAAGTCCCCTCAGTTTCTGTCAGACCGAGGTGGGCAGCACCCTTTCAGGTATGAGAAGGCAGGAAGCTGGGAGAGCAGATGTGAGCTAGCACGGTGGCACCTTGTGTCCTCCTCCTCCTCTCTTCAGCTTGCTCAGCACGGTCCCCACTGACTTCCCATTCTTTTCCTTGCTCTGTCTCCTGGGTGTGGCTACAGATCGGCAGTGTGGTGGGGAGCTGGGGGAGTTCACTGGCTACATCGAGTCTCCCAACTACCCCGGCAACTACCCAGCGGGCGTGGAGTGCGTCTGGAACATCAACCCCCCACCCAAGCGCAAGATCCTTATTGTGGTCCCCGAGATCTTCCTGCCATCCGAGGACGAGTGTGGGGATGTTCTCGTCATGAGAAAGAACTGTGGGTGACTGCAGCATGGGCTCAGGGAAGGACAGTTGCCGTCTGGTAGGGCAGGAGGGAGAGTTGGGGCAGTGACGTTGGTTGGGAGCCAGGGAGAGCAAATGTGAGCGCAGTCTTGGGACAGAAGCCGGCACAGGACGCCCGGGGCAGGTCTGGTGGAACACAGTGAGGAAGCTAGTCCTGGCCCGGATGCACTAACTCTAGCCCGAGCCCTTTTGTCGTTCTCATCTCGTAAATGTCAATTTTAATAGACCACGTGACGTTCAGTTGTCAGTGGTGCAGAGCAGCCTGGGACACTGGAAGAGGGGTGTGCGGGCGAGTGTCTAGGGAGAGGGAGCCTCGGTTGCAATGACCTGTGCCCTGCTTCCCAGCCTCCCCATCCTCCATCACCACTTATGAGACCTGCCAGACCTATGAGCGTCCCATTGCCTTCACGGCCCGTTCCAGGAAACTCTGGATCAACTTCAAGACGAGTGAGGCCAACAGTGCCCGTGGCTTCCAGATTCCTTACGTGACCTATGATGGTGAGCAAGGGCGGGAGGGGCGGAGGGGTGGGACGGGACCAGGGAAGCAAACGGTCCCCATCCTCAGCCCCCAACCCTGGTTGACTCTACAGAGGACTACGAGCAGCTAGTGGAAGACATAGTGCGGGACGGCCGGCTCTACGCCTCTGAGAACCACCAGGAGATCCTCAAGGCAAGTGAATATTCGCTGTGGCAGCTAATGTGGATGGGCACCCAGCAGCGTGCAGGCAGAATGCTAAGCACCAGCGTGACATCCTGTTTCCTGGCTCTTTGAGGTGTCTTCTTCATTGCCATTTTCCATGAGAGGACCGAGGCAAAGACAACTGAAGAGCTTGCCTGTAGTGGGCTCTGACTCTGGCTCATAGGACGGCAGCGCCACCACGCTGTGTCACACCTTGGGGGAGGTAAAATGTAGAGGGATGCTTTGGTCTTTTAGACAGGGTCCTACTAGTCCAGGCTGGCCTGAACTCCAGGTCCTTCTGCTTCTACCTCCTAAATGCTGGGACTATAGACCTCGAGGAAAAGAGACATTCCTAACATTGAGGAGTGGGCAACACCTGGGTCTATGGAGTTTCGCCAGGGCGGTGGTGCTCACCTGTAATCCCTGCACTCGGGAGGCACAGGCAGGTGGATCTTTGTGAAGTTCTAGTCCAGCCAGGGAGACACACAATCAGACCCTTGCAAAAATGATTTTACTTCAGTTTTGATTATGGGCATTTGTGTGGAAATGTGCCGTGAGTGCTAGGGGGCCAGAGGCACCAGATCCCCTGGAGATGGAGGCACAGGCAGTTGGGAGCTACCCAGTGTGGGTGCTGCCAACTAAACTCGGGTCCTCTGCAAGAGCAGCAAGTGCTCTTAACCACTGAGCCGTCTCTCCAGCCCTGAACCATTGTTTCAAACAAAATGTAGCAGGGTTTGATGTATACACATACGGTTTGGTCTACTCAGGAACTGAGCTGAGAGGATCACTTGAGCCCAAGAGTTAAGAGAAAAGCCTGGGCAACAGAATGGACTCCGTCTCAGACAACAAATCAAATGTCCTACGCAACTGCACTTTACAAAGCAGCGCAGCTCTGCTGATGTACTGCTAATCCAGCGCCTGGGAGGCAGAGGCAGGCAGATCTCTGTGAGCTCTAGGTTAGCCTGGGCTACACAGTGAGCTTCAGGCAGCCCTAGCCACATAGTGAGACTGTTTCAAGAGAAGGAAGCCCCGCCTATTTTAGAAATCTGTGGGTACAGCCTAGAAGCCAGAAATGTGTTGTTAGTTTTGTTGGGGTTTTGTGATGTGTGTGTGTGTGCATGCGCGCGCGTGTGTTTGTGTGTGTGTGTGTGTGTGTGTGTGTGTGTGTGTGTGTGTAGGTCAGAGGACAATATGGAGGATTGGTTCTCTCCTCCCACAGTCTGGGTCTTGGGAATTGAGGCTGTCTCAGAGAGGAGTTCTAGGGCATAGTGCTGGCATCTAGAGAGGGGGCAGAAGACACCGGGAAGAAGGACCTGAAGGAGCTGTTGCGCTGGTGGCTGAAACGTATTCCAGTATGGCAGTAGTGGGGCATATTTAAGGGCCACGAGACCCCTGTGTTTCAAACATGAAGTAAACTGAACACCCTACTTCAGCTGCTGTGAAGAGACTGATCCATGGTGGGCCACGGATTGAAGCCTCTAATCCCAGCCATCCAAAAGCCTGAGGCAGGAGGATGGTACATTGTAGGTCGTTTGGGGCTACAAAGTAAGTTCAGGGCCAGATGGAGCAACTTAGTAGGACTGTGTCAGAGAGTAACAACTTAGTAGGACTGTGTCAGAGAGTAACAACTTAGTAGGACTGTGTCAGAGAGTAACAACTTAGTAGGACTGTGTCAGACAGTAACAACTTAGTAGGACTGTGTCAGAGAGTAACAACTTAGTAGGACTGTGTCATAGAGTAACAAGGTTGCCTGGCTCTAGCTCTGTAACAGTGCATGTCTGGGGCTGGAGGGTTGCTCAGCAGGTCAGAACCTTTGTTACATCCTGCAGAGGACCGGGTTCAGCTCCCTGCACGCACACAGTGGCCTGGCCATAACTGCAGTTCAGGGAATCCAGCATCCTCTCTGACCCCCTGGAGTAGCAGGCATGTGTGTAGTGCACATGCCTCTACACAGGTGACATTCAACAAGTATACACAGAACAAGTAATTACAGAAGGGAAGGAAAGAAAAGAATGCTTGCCTAGTATATGTGAGGGCCTAGGTTCAGCCCTCAGTATCATATAAAACAAGAGAAAGAAATAGACCCGCTACTGAAATAGTTCAAGGGCGAGACTATGGTGGCCTAGCTCAGAGTGGAAGCCATGGGGATGGCAAAGACTGGTCAGACCCAGGTTGTATCCTGAAGGTTAGAGTCAACACTTGTCTGTAGCTGTGAGAAAGGGGTTTCAGATGGCTCCACCGACCGGGGCCTGAGCAGCAGAGCACTAGAGCTGCCATTATTGAGCTGTGGGTTTCTAAAGGAGCGGATGGCGGGAACAGAGTCCTGGGGTCACTCTGAGACATGAAGAGGGGCTGCTGACTGTGCCACTGACCCTGACAACTGCCATCTTCTGCAGGACAAGAAGCTCATCAAGGCCTTCTTTGAGGTCCTGGCCCACCCCCAAAACTACTTCAAGTACACAGAGAAACACAAGGAGATGCTGCCCAAATCCTTCATCAGGTTGCTCCGCTCCAAGGTCTCCAGCTTCCTGAGGCCTTACAAATAGTGCCCGTGGGGGAGACCCGGGTCTCAGAGCTCCGACTCCCTGGCCCTCAGAGCTGGCACCCCAACCTCAGACGAGAAAGATCACCACACAAGGCACTCTCCCCTTCCTAGTTAACCCTGTCTTCTCTCTCTACTTCTTTCTTACATGTTCCCTGGAAAGCCATCCCGTGCTATCCCCGCTCCCCCCAGGGTGAAGGAATAGACCTCTCTCCTCTGCCCACCTCACCAGCTCATATCCCCGTACCCCAGTCTGGAGGGGTGCTGCAGGCCCGGAATAGGATCAGGCCTGCTAGGAAGTGGGGGAGGGTAAGGCTTCTGCCGTTATAGGGTTGTGCCTTGCTAGCCAGGAGCCAAAATCCGCCCCCCCCCCCCGCACTGTGTTCTCCAGAGTGACTCTTTACAGTCCAGAGTCCTGCCAGAGAAGCCTTTGACACACCAGCACTGTGCCAACACAGGCTGCTGGGCACACAGTTTGAGCCCTGGGTGCACACAGTTGGCATTCTTACTTGTACAGCTTCTCCCGCCTGCCTGCCCGCCTGGGGCTGACTCCGTAGGATTTACAAGTGGTCTTTACCACCGGGCTGGCAAACCCTGGCTGAGTAGGGCAGAGCAACAGGCAATAATCTTGTCTGCCAGAGACAATGCTCCCAGACAGCTCTGTGGGGCAGAAAGCAGGCTTTTCAAGCCATTGCTGAGAACAGCAAGAAAAGAAAATGTATCACCTAAAGATCCACCCAGCTTGCAGAACGAGTGGAAACCAGCCTTAGACACGGACCCTTTCCTTGCCAGTTCTCCCTGGCCCCGCCATGCCCTCACCCTGCCGAAGTGCTCCCTGGGGAAGGCTCACTCCCCTTGCTAAGTGCTGTCCTTAAAGAAAACTGGCCATCGACCTTCACCAACCCTGACCTCGCTCCACGGTTTTTCCCCTTGTAGCTCCAGGTGGCTTGTGGGTGCCACCAAAGAGGACCCCACTCTGCAGCCAGCCTGGAGCTGCCTACCTCTGGCCTCGGGCTGTGGGCAGCAAGAAGAATGTGTGCCCGTGGCAAGCCGCCTGCCCACCCTGTCCACATCTGAGAAGTGCAATCATTGAGTCTTTCTGTGTTGTCTAGAGGGAGGGGTTGTTTCTTGTTTGTTTCTTTTCCTCTTAGAATACCCCTATTTATAGCTGCCCGGGAGAGAAGAGTACGTTGGGAGTGGAAGAGTATTGGTTTGACTCTCATAAGCCCTGAGCGCTAGAGCGTCTCATCACTCCCTGAGGCCACCCAGAACTCCAGGGCCCTCAACAATCCCTCGGAGGTGCCCAAGGTGTGGGAGAGCAATTCTGGTAACTTGGTGAAGCAGGAAGGAGAGGGGCTGTTGGCTGAGCTGGCCCTGCCATCCTTGAGTCTCTGTGGACTCACGGTTATAGGTGCAGACGGGACTGGTCAGTATCTACTCCAAGTAGGGGAAACCCCTACCCTTCCACGGCCTTCGTGCTTCCCCTGGCGTGTACGTGGAAGAGGATCAGGACAAACGCTGAGGATGGGCCAGGGAAGGCTGGGACAGTCTTGAATGGGACACTGACCCATGAATGAAGCTGGTGAAGGAACAAGAACCAGATACGTGCCTGACGCTGTCACCTGCCTCTTAAGGGTTGACTTCCAGCCTGTCTCAGCTACTGTTTTTCAAAAGGAACAAGAATCACATCCATGCCCAGTTGCTGCCTGTAAGGTCTCCCCCAAGGCTGTAGTCCCACACAGTCACTAGCCACCAACTGACTCCTCAGGTCCAACTCCAGGAGACTGCCAAGAGATTCAACACTAAATAACCTGATCCCCCCACACTAGCCAACAGCAATTAAAGCTAGCTTCTTAGACATCTGTTAGCCAACACAGTGGGGAGGGGTGGGGTCTGCTGTCTGTCTCTCTGGGTCAGAGAGCTATTATAAAACTGTTACATGGCTTTGTACAAGGGTGGATGGGCATGTGGAGGGAACGTCTGACTTCCCCACAAGTGCCAGGGAACAGCGGGAGTCAACTTTGGCCATCCTGCTAGAAGCAAGGATAACTTTTGAGTGCTCTCTCCCTGCCATTACGCCCGGCTCCTGGGAGGCCGCACAGTGAGAAGTGCCTCCCGCTGTCTGCCATTAGGCTTCCTCTCCTGCCACAATATACACTCGGACACTTCCTCTAATCGTTCATCGCATGGCTGGTGGGGCAGCACGTGAGTTCCACGTACCGAGAGCAGGCCACTAGGCTTAGCTGATACCGAGACGGACAGAGGAAGGCAGGCGACGACTTGGTGCTGCCAACCAAGTTGGCAGTCAGGCATCCAGGTGGAGCTGCTGCTGACCGTGCAGAGGAGACTGTATGGCCCTGGGGCACCTATGGGGGCTCAGTAGACAGAACAAGGAGGACAACTCAGGGACTTTCTAATTGCACAGGTTAGATGAGGTCTGTCTCTAGGAGGAAGCAGGGGAATGAGAAGATGGTGTGAACAGGAAGCCTTCATGAACTGGCCCAGGAGCTTCTCTGCAGGCTGCCCAGGCCGCAGAACCACGGCACCTCATTCACAGTAGCACACACCTGCCCTGGTCTGAGTTCCATCGGAAGAAGTCGTTTCCATGAAGGCTCCAGGCGCCAAGTGACAAATCCCAAGAGGATCCTTGGTCCTCAACTACACAGTGACGCCTCTGTGGTCCTCTCCTCTGTCAGGCCACCCTAAGCCTTAGGGACCCTCAGAGGATTGACTGCCACTGTGCTGCAGCCCCCATTTCTCCGAATGGAGGTAGGAAGACGAGGCTTTGTGGCTAAGTTCAGGTGTGCCGTCTGCGACTCCGAGAAGCGTGCGTCATATGGGTGTTCGCAGTGACTCTTAACTGGATTAGGAAGTCTGAAAAGTTAGGGAGCATTCAAGTGTCTGTGTTTGCTGCTGAGCTTGAAGGTGACAGTCTCAAAGTAGGGGGATGGAGACAGAGCGTAACTGACCTCAAGCAGAAAGTGTTAACCTGCCTGGTTTCTTTCTCAAGCCCAGGAAAAGTGGAAGCAAACACCTTTACACGGGGCCTGTCTCAAGGGTGGAACAGCCACTGTCTGGACTGGTAATCCTTTAAGGATTGGGGAAGAGAAGCCTGGCTCTGCTGGCAGCTCACTGGCACAAAAGAAATGGTAGGAGTTTGGACAAGCTAAAAATTGCGCGTTCTATGGGAGCTGAAGTTTCAGAAAATAATTATCACGTGGAAGGCTTTTTTTGCGTGTGTGCAGAAGAAAATCTCGAAGTACTATATTTATGCCTGCCTTCCATCGCGACCGATACAGGAAGCATCTCACAATCAACAATACACGGCAAGCAGTGTGGTTCATAAAGTATTTTGCACTTGGGGAAGAATATGTATCTGAACTTGTAAAAAGGAATGTTTGGATTTTGTATTGTCTTTTTTATATTATTAAAATATTAAACAGAACCTTTAAGACTTATTCATTATGTATATAGTGCTCTTCTGCATGTATCCCTGCAAGCTATAAAATGGCATCAGATCTCATGGCTGTGAGACACCATGTGGTTGCTGGGAATTGAACTCAGGACCTCTGGAAGAGCAGCCAGTGTCCTTAACCTCTGAGCCATCATCTCTCCACCACTCCCCCACTATCTTATTCCCAATGAGTTTGTATTTGGAAATTCTTGTCCCTTTCTATCTTGAAAAGCAGCATCAGGAACTGTCCCTTGCTAAGTGTGGTAGAACATGTCTTTGACCCCAGTATCCAGGAGCAGAAGCAGGAGGACCAGCCTGATCTATGCAGTGAGTTTTAGGCCAGCCAGGGCTACATAACGGAGCCTAGTCTCAAAAGAGAGGGGGTTGGGAGGGTATCTCAAGTGTGTCTTTTCCTGGGGCTGCAGCGATAGTTCAGTTAGGAGCACTGGCTGCTCTTCCATAGGACCTGAGTGCAGTTCCCAGCAACCACACGGCAGCTCTAGGGGATCTGGTCTTCACAGACACATATACAAATAGAAATTACTCTTTTTTAATTTTTTTTTCGAGACCGCATTTCTCCATGTAGCCCTGGCTGTCCTGGAACTCGATCTGTAGACCAGGCTGGCCTGGAACCCACAGAGAGCATTATGCCTCTTAATCACAGTATGGTCTGTAGAAGCTGGCCAGGACACAAGTGCTCAGACATACTCATAACCAAGATGTCCCATTCCTCGCACTTACAGCCGCCCAACTGTGTTCTCTGTAGTGGAAGATAGTCTTGGCCACCGACACTATCAAAGGCAGGAAACTCATTCGCTGCCATCATCACTCTGCCTGTAGGCCTCTGCAAGCAGTTCCCAGTTCTTTATAGATAACAGCCTCAACTTAGTATGTACAGCCACTCCAGAGTATGACTTGGGGAACAAGGAGAAAAAGTAGCCTGAGCAATTAATACCTCGGGTCGACGCATCTGTAATGAAGACAGGTGAAGTCATTCCACGATCCCAGACTCCCACTCTGTGCCAAGCAGTGTGGTGTGGCTACCATTGCTTGACAATAGTCATGCTCAGAGTCCATGTATATAGCTTTGGGGTTCCACCTTAGAGTTCCATGCAGATTCCTCAACAGGGTGGCCGGAAGTGTAAATTCACTGGCGTTCTACTTTGAACACATTAACTTCCTAGGAATTTGATTTAGTGTGATAAATGAACAGATGAGGCTACATTGCTGGAGATGCAAATCTGAGAGCCAGATCCAAGATCACAGAGACACCCTCTGGCGTCACCTGCAGCCATCTTTTACCTTTTACGTATCTGCAGCCCAGGGGCAGCGCACCATGGCCAGCATGCATGAGGCCTGGAGTTTGATTCCCGTATCAAAATAATAAAATTCTACCCCACAATATCTTCCTCACCAATTCTTAGGACCAGGAATTTATTATTTATTTATTTTTGGTTTTGGTTTTTCAAGACAGGGTTTCTCTGTGGCTTTGGAGGCTGTCCTGGAACTTGCTCTTGTAGACCAGGCTGGTCTCAAACTCACAGAGATCCACCTGCCTCTGCCTCTGCCTCGAGAGTGCTGGGATTAAAGGAGTGAACCACCACCGCCCGGCAGGACCTGAAATTTATTAGGATCACAGCTACAGTCAGGTATAGTGGCACATACTTGTAATCCCAGCACTTGGAAAGTAGAGGGCAGCAAGTTTGTTAAGTTTGGGGCTTGTCTAATCTACCTATTAAGTGTCAAGCTAGCCAGGGCTACATGGTGAGGTGACGGTTTATCAAAAAAAAAAAAAAATTAGGAGGATCCATTCCTTCAAATGGTTCCTGGGCTCTTGTTAAATGTGTAATGGGGGAGGTGATTGAAGAGAGTGCCGTCTGCCAGGGAATGCGGCAAAGAAGGCATGTTTTACTATGGGGAAACACGGTGGAGTTGAGCAGACATAAGACGTTCATTCTAGATGGGTAGTGGTGGCGCACGCCTTTAATCCCAGCACTCTGGAGATAGAGGCAGGCGGATATCTGTGAGTTCGAGGCCAGCCTGGTCTACAGAGTGAGTTCCAGGACAGCCAAGGCTGTTACACAGGGAAACTGTCTTGAAACACCACCACCAACAACAACAACAAAAACAAAAAAATGGAAGTTCATTCTAAATTCTAGTAATTTTTTTTGGTTTTACGAGACAGGGTTTCTCTGTTCTGGAGGCTGTCGGTCAGAGATCCGCCTGCCTCTGCCTCCCGAGTGCTGGGATTAAAGGCATGCGCCACCACCGCCTGGCTTAAATTCTAGTATTTTAAACTCACCAAGTAACCGAAGATGACCTTGAACAATTTCAGTGTGTGTGTATGTAAGTAAGCATGCAACCATGTGCCTTTGGAGTTCAGAGGACAACTAGGGGGAACACATTCTCTTTTTCCACCACGTGGGTTGCAGGAGCCGAATTCAGGCTATCTGGCTCGGCAGCCTGTCCCCAGCGAGCCATCCTGCCAGCCCTAATCATGAGCTCTCAACCCCTCCTGCTTCTGTCTGCCCAGTGCTGGGGATTACAGGTGTACACCACGGTGTCTGGCTTTCCTGTTGTCTGTCTGTCTGTCTTTTTCTTCCTTCCTTTTTTCTTTTGTACAGTCCAGAGATATCCCAACTTCCTTTTATTGCCAAAAAGCAAAATTGTCAATTGCAAGATGATTATGACACAACCATATCAAACCTAAAAAAAAAACTATTTCTTTTAACTTTGAGAAATCAAAAATACCAGATTAATTCTAAGTGCCCTATGTCAACGGAAGTGAAATACATCTTAGCTTTAAAACGTGGAATATACATTGCATGTAAGCATTATTTTGGGGGGATATAATCTACAGAATATTTCTTTTACTAAAACTTCAGACCTTGATACCTGCACATGAAAATCATTTTTAAAAAATCTAAGTATACCTGTACAAAGAAACTGACGCCAACAGGCACACTTCCACAGAGAAGAGAGTTCTTCAATAGTTGTGAGTTCTGGAAAAACTTTTGAAACAATTCCTGCTGCGTTCCTAACCAACAATTCACGCTGTAAAACCCTGGACCCGTCCTGTGCCTGTTGTGCTAGGACAGCAGGAGAGCCCAGCGCCACACTGAGACTTCGGGATCAGCAGGCTCATGGCAAGGATCCACCCCCTCAATCTACTTATTTAAGTGGAAGCTCATTCCCTTTTCATTTTCTCTCGGGTTTCTGAAAATATCCCTAAATCACACTCCCTTCCTGATTGGAGAGGAAATGATAAAAGAACGCCTAAGGTCTGGAGGTCAGCGGTGAAGCTGAGGCAAGAGCTTGTGATACATCGTGCGTTTGGGTCAAAAAAAAAAAAAAAGACAAGAAAAAGACAGGAAGGGGAGTGTAGGGGGGACGACTTGGTTTTGTTCTTCACGTTGCTAGCCTATCGAGGGGACCAGTTGGTTTAGGGGCTGATGGAGGAATGAGTGAGCGCCCAAGAAAGACTGGCAGGCGCCGTACCTCAGAGTCCGTCCACCATAGAACGTCACTTCTCAGGGAAGGCGGAATTGAGGGAGCACCGTTCCCCAACAAGGGCTGTCACCGCGTCTCGGGGAGGATCATCCCGATGGGAGAAAGGTCCAACAGAGAGGACGCCATCGCTCACAAACACTCACGTTCCCCAAGGCACGGCCCCCCAGGACGCGGGGCAAGGGCAGTGCCGCAGGAAGGGCTGTCGGGGCCGCGGGGAGGACCCTCGAGGGCTCCTCGGCACCGGCCTCTGCAGTAGCCACCCGGAGACACCAGCCGGGGCTTCCTCCGGGCCGACGCTCGCCCGCCCGCATTGCTATGGCGACCGCGGCCTCCACCCGGCGTCGTGACGTCACCACGCCCTCCCCGGGCGCCCCGGCTGGCGAGGCCGCGTCACCCGGCGGCCGGCAGTGAGGGGAGCGGGGCGGAGCTCCGAGGCTCGCCCGAGGACACTTGGCGGCCTGGGCTCCGGGGCCCGGGAACCGGGATAAGCAGGCCGGCCGCCGCGGCAGAGGGGGGCGGGCTGGAGCGTGGCCCCGCGCTGGCCATCCGGGTTCCGGGGCCCGGCGGAGGCCGCGCCGGGAGCGAGCGGGAAGTGCGGCCGCCCTGGAACCTGGATATCGCGCGAGGCAAGCCGCGCGCGGGCGGGCGGGCTATGGCGCAGGCGGGTTGCGGGGCCGGCGCTGGTGGCGGGGCCCGGTGCATGGCGGTCTGTCGGCGGAGTCGCCCTCGGGGGCTGTCAGGTTGGTGGCCGCGGGAAGAGTGGGTCCACCGTGCCCCGAGGCGGGAGGCCGGGCGGACGCGGGGCCCCGGGAAGGTCCGGAGCCCGTCGTGCCCACCCTCCTCGGGCCCTGGCCGGGCGGCTGGGCCTCCCTGGACGGCGGCCTGGCCCCACCCCCACCCAGGGTCCCTGCCCCTCTATTCCGCCCTGAGACTCCTCCCCCAGGGCTCCCAAACCCCACCCCGTGGCCGCACCCGTCTCCACCTCTTTGACCCCATACGCCCACTCGCCTCAGGACTTTCCAGGTGACCCCCGATTCATTGACTGCTAACCCCAGCCCTGCTTCTGGACCCGCCAACCTCAGTTCTGATAACAGTGGTCACACAGCTCCAAGGTCCCCGCAGTCCCCAGTGACCCCTAAACTACCCTCTGTGGACGCCCTCCAGACCTCTCTCCTGGCTGCTGCAAACCCGCTCATCCACATAACTCTCGGGATCTCCGCCCTGTAACGCCATGGTCATCTTCACCCCACTGACTCCCCTCTTGGGCCCCCAGCCTCCAGTGTCAACAGCACATAACTTAAGCCCCCCACCACCGTTGTGGTGCTCAAGGGCGTATGGAAACGAAGTGTATCTATCTATGGAGGCGTCAGGGGTTCTGGATTGAGTGTGTGGTCCCAGGCTCCAGTTCAGATTCTGTCGTGTCGGGCTCTGGGAACCTGGGAGAGGTCCTTTCCCTGTGTCGGACTTCAGTTTCTGATCGC